GTTTCAATGTGTATCGTCGTGATAGAGGTGATAGATGCGGCGGTGGTGTACTTGTTGCTGTAGCGGATCATATTTCTTCGTCTTTTGTGCCTGTTGTAACCAATTTAGAGATCATATTTGTTGAAATTTGCACATGTTATAAAAGATTATCTTGGGTATCTGCTACCGTCCACCGTCCTGCGATCCGAGCTTTGTCAATAGCCTTCACGATGTGGTTAACATAGTTATGGAACGTTTTCCTAATGTACCAGTCCTTTTAGCCGGAGACTTTAACTACCCAAATATATTTTGGTCCAGTGATGTACCTCAGTTAAGTCCGTTCTCTACTGACAGTTATAATTTTTTGAGCTTTTGCTCTGATTTCAACTTTACACAAATTGTCACCCAACCAACTCGCATTACACCTACTACTTCGAGCGTTTTAGATCTCGTGTTAACCAACGTGCCTGACCTGTTCATGTCTCCACTTTGTTTGCCTCAATTAAGTGATCATTCTTTGCTCCATTTCACTATGGATGTTTGCGTTCCTCACCATGAAAATTATACTAAGCACATTAGAGATTACGCTGCTGCCGATTTTGATGCCATCAATAGAGAACTGTTTATTTCTGGACAGCTATCTTGATGAATTCGAGGCTCGTTCCGTTAATTCGAACTGGATTTTGTTCAAAGAAAAAGTAGCATACCTGACTGAAACGTTTGTTCCCCTGAGGCTAGTCACCACCAATAAGCATGCTCCCTGGTATATCCAATCTTTGGAAAGGTTGGCTAATAAGAAAAAAAGGCTGTTTCGGTCCGCTAAAGTTTCTAACTCGCAGGCCAGATGGGATTCTTACTACGTTGCTAATGGGGAATATAGGAGGGCCACAAAAGCAGCAAAGGAAACCTACTTTAATAACGCACTCACCAATATGTTAGTCAACAACCCGAGACAATTTTGGAGGGTGGTGAATAAAAAAGATACTCATGAAATAACACTTAAAACTTCGGACGAGGTAACCCATAAAGATGATTGCGCTGTTATTCTCTGTGACACCTTCGCGGCGGCAGTGTCAGGTCTCCTCAACAAAGGTTCAAACCCTGTTTGTCAAGCTAGTGGTTATCTCCCGATGGAATCAATTCGTTTTGACACAGCAGGTGTACAAAAAATAATAGAAAATCTTAAAGTCTCGTCTTCCGCCGGAACTGACAACATTACTTCCAAGTTTTTAATCAGTCTACAGCGCCCTAATCTTAACAAAAATATTTGAGCAATCTCTGGAAGCGGGCTGTCTTCCGGATGATTGGAGTGTGGGAAGAATTATTCCATTCTTTAAGTCAGGTGATAAACTTTGTCCGGAAAATTACAGACCAGTATCAATCACTTCGATACCATGCAAAATAAGCTTATAAAATTTTTAGAGGGCAATTCTTTCTTTACTGATTCGCAGCATGGATTTCGTAAAAACTTTTCCTGTGAAACGCAACTAATATGTTTTATACATGATTTGCATTCTATTCTCGACAACGGCACACCCATTGACTGTATCTTTTTAGATTTCTCAAAAGCGTTTGACAAAGTACCTCATGATTTACTCATTTTAAAATAACGGAGCCTCAATATAGGTGATAACGTCCTCGCGTGGGTGATTGCTTTTCTCAGTAACCGTTCCCAATTTGTAACTGTTAATAACTTTGATTCGCCCAGGGTCCCGGTTGGCTCTGGGGTCCCACAGGGCTCCGTGTTGGGACCATTGCTCTTTCTGGTCTATATAAATGATTTGCCTCTAAACATTACTTCTTCAGTGAGTCTTTTCGCAGATGACTGCGTAATTTATCGGGAAATTAAGGGACATTCAGACGTTCTAGAATTGCAGGCTGATATGGATCGGGTTCAGGAATGGTGTGAGACTTGGGGCATGGCGTTAAACGTTAACAAATGCAAATGCATGCATGTTAACCGACACAGCACTAGTATCAGGTCGTATCATATTAATAATGTTCTTATCGAAGTAGTAAATTCTTATAAGTATCTAGGTATCCACATAACTTCTACATTGTCTTGGAAGACACACATTGAATATATTGCAGGTAAAGCTAATAGCACGTTGGGTTACCTTCGAAGAAGTTTTAATCAGGTACCCGTTTCCTTGAAACTCTTACTCTACAAAGTATTGGTAAGTAGCAGATTGGAATATGCAGCATCTGTTTGGGACCCTGGTCATGACTCGCTTATCTATGAATTAGAACGAGTGCAGAATCGGGCAGCGCGCTTCATCCTTTCAAATTACCATCGCACCTCGAGCGTCACATCAATGAAAACTACACTAGCATTACCCCTACTGTCTCTTTGCAGGAAAGTGTCTCGGCTGTGTATATTCCATAAAATTTACTTCACCAATCCGTTACTCAGAAGCAGATTATTGGCCCAACCAACTTACGTTTCCACTCGCATTGATCATCGCCATAAAGTAGGACTTCCTTTAGCGCACACCAAGTGTTTTTATAATTCATTTGTGCCAAAAACATCTGTATGCTGGAATCATCTTCCTTGTGATATTGTTGGTATAAAAGATGCTGCTTTATTTAAAATTGCCGTCACTAATTTTATTTGTACGTAGCCTCAGTTCAACCCTGTAGCAAGCGACGATTGCAATTTTTCTGTTGTTGTATTTTGCTTTGTATGCTGTACATGTATGTATGTACCCACTCCCCTCTGTAATGCCCTCGGGCCTTGAGGGTAACTGAATAAATAAATAAATAAATAAATATATAAATAAATAAATAAATAAATAAACAAACGTGATGAAGGGTGCTCTTACGCATTTCTTCCCACTTCTCCTAATGCGAAACGCCTCTATCAGCTCTCTGGTGGTCCGATCTGGGTGTTTTGATAAAACAGTAACATCACAAAAAAGGGGTCGCATCCGCACGAACTACAATGTTTGGGCAAGTGTGCACACTCTTGTGTCCAGCGATCTATATGTTCTTGCCACATAATGTTGACACATTTTCCCGTCTGGCCTATGTAGGTGAGACCACAGGACAATGGTACCAAATGTACAACACCTGTTTCACACTTAACATACGACTGCCTATGATTCATGTCGCATCCTTCTCGTTTTCGACCCTAAACGTTTTGTGCTAGTTTTCTATCTATTCTGTTACATAGCTTGTTTAATTTGTTTAAAGCCGGGAAAATTATACCCCAACGTCATATCGATTCGCGTCATATGTGTGCGCGGCCTTATTCAGTTTAAATATGAACCAATACCAACTAGCCCAATTATCCGTGCTAATGATGTGTGGCATAATTTACGTCCGCCTCGCAACGATGTGCTGATTTTAAAGTGAGATATCAACCTTCCTCATTCGTGCATCGCATATCATCGATTCCCCCTGTATGTGGGACCTGCCTTTTTTTTTTTACTAACAGGATTTAGTAAAGTCGAATGCATGGTGTTTTGTCTCGCTTAAGCCAGCGTACTACTAAAAGTTATTTATACGAGCAATGCGGCTTCATGATTCGCTTCACAGTAGTGCACATTAGGAGAGTCCAGCCGAACGTGCCACCGAGCGAGGACGTCAGAGCACTCTCACCGATGGTTTTCAGTATTTGTAAGTATATTATGGCAGCCCTTTTAAAGGCATGGCTTTTCGGAAAAGTGCATGAAAGCTTTGCACAATATATGTAATGGAGGCAAAGAGAGGTAATGATCAAACTGCGATGCCGCTTCTGCTGATGTACTAAACAAGATATGAAGTCAGCGAAGAGCAGAGAGACCTTGAGGAGGATTTCGGTTCGAACGTGACTTATCCCGAGGTATTCTCAGAGTTTTTAGCGCTGAAATTTTACACAGGCTAGAACAAACACCCAGCAGCGTCTCAGTTTGTTAATTCCTGCGTTGACCGGTACAGATTTTGACACGGCAACTCGGTCAGAAGCAAACACATCCAGTTATTTTGAGTTTGAGCGACAGTGAGGAGCAACCCAGAGGAATGAGCAACGACACAAGTACGCTGCAGTCAGATTAGGAAGGATAGAAAACACAAAGAGCACGGCAGCGCAAGGTAAAACAAGGGAAACGTCATACCAGTGCCAGCGGATGTCACCGAAAGTTGACAGCTGCATGCGCCTGAAGCTCTCATTCCATATGCAACAAACAACGTTTTTGAAAACGTTCTTTGTTGCACGCAAGAACGACTGTGCATCGTTATCTATTGTTTTTATTGTTTTTTTTCTATTGTAGACGCTCAAGTAAAATGCTATGAAAAACTACATGTCGTTTATTAAATGAAATTGGAAGAAACGTAGAGTATATATAGCACGCGTGAGGCGTGATAGCTTATGAAGCTTAGAATACGCCCCAGTCACCCTACCCACCCTGAAATGTGCCTTGAACCTCATTAATAAATAGGTCATTGTATTGCTTGCTGGCCCAGGCAACATTCGAATTCCCACAGACAAAAACATTTTTTAGTTGAGAAATTAAGCGTCAAATAGAGTTTCTTTTGATGGCACGGTGCTTTGTGAAATGAATTTGAGCTGTTAAGTTTTGCTTATTTTTTGGGTACAACAAACTCGAATTCTGTAGCACTTTCTAAAAAAATGTTGGATATCTCTAAATTTACACTCTCAAAATAAAGCCCGAAGACGATAAGCATACATATATAAAACAAATATTTTGTAACGCAAACAGGGTTTGTGTACAGGATAAGGTATATGATCTACCTTTTGGCGCCTAACGTATACGCATGGCGTTACAAAAAAAAATCGAACCCACGACCAATATACGATCTTATGCTAGGTCAGCAAGAGTGAGTAACAATTTTTTACATGAAAGGATAGAGGGAGGTCAAGCTACATTGGCAGCAAGATGATGCTGAAAGGCCGCAACAAATCGCGCTCGCATTTGTTCACAATTCCAAAAGAACTGGAGGTTCACAAGCAAACTACACGGTTCCTCGACACGCATAGCACAACCGCTCTCCCTCTGCAAACGTTTCTCTGGCAACCTCACCTCGAAGGCGTCCTCGGCTCCACACGGCTGCTTCCTCGCCCCGGCGTCGCTGGAGACGCGAACCACGAGCGTGGTGCCGCTGGTCTCGGCCGCGGCCTGAACCAGGGCCTGGCTGGTCTCCAGTCGGCACACGCGAATCACGCCGTCGTGCGTCGGCACGTCCAGCAGGCCTAACAGGTCGCGTACGGCGCCGCAAGCCGGCGAACAGAGCGCGGCGAGCAAGGCCGCGAGCAAACACGGAGTTGTACTACGCATCGCTGCTCCCAGCCGACACTAGCGGTGCGCGCACACAGGGTCTCGTTGTGGGCTGTTGTGGAAACGGCGCTTCCGAAGCTTGCTTCTTGGTAGATGCACGTTTTTGCGCACAGTGACCGACTGTAAGGGGGCCGGAAAGTGCTGTCGAACGAAGCCTCCTCTGCGCACCGGCGTCCTATCGACTCGGCTCGACGCACTTGTCCGTTAGGCAGCGATAAGAACGACCCACCCGCGACCGACAACAAAGCGCCCACCGGCTGAACGTCACCGTTCGTTCGCGAGCCAGAAATGCCAACCTCGCGCGTCGAAACTACGTCACGCTTTTGCGCGACCCTTCATTTTTGTTTTTTTTTTCAATGGCGTGTGGGCTGCCAGTACGCGCTCCTTGCCCTTTGATTTCTATTAGTAGGCCTAAACTCTCCAGAGTGCGATTTGAGGGGGAAGTGTCGTTGAATGACACTTGACAAGTTGACGATTCTGTCATGCGTGCGAGCGCACAATGTCCTCTCCACGTGCCGTGGGCACATCTGCGTGCTTGATTGTTTTTGCGGGTTGTGAGCAGTGGTAGACACAACACACTGAGCTCTATGCTATACTTCATGGCCCTACATACGTAATTTGCTTTAGTTTTTTTTTCTTGTTTATAATTTCGTAGGGGATGGGAGACACCACCGCGTTTGTCTGGACTGGCTAACGGCACCAACTTGTAGCCAAGAAGTAAATTGCTCACGTATTTCAAGTCAGTGATTAAATTTTTTTTTTCATCTAGAAGTAATACATTTCAGTATACCTGCAATAAATCGACATTTAAAATAATTCGCGTAGTTGTCAAGGAGCAGTATATTAGGTACAAAACAACGTCTACTACCCTAATAAATTCATTCAACGAAGGTTCTCAAGACTTGTATTTCTTTCCTTCCTCTTTTTTTTTAATGCGGCGACTTCATCCACAGTGTACTCTAATACGCACCTGAAGAGTATGTCATTTTAAAATATTGACCCGCTACTTAGATTTGCGATTGAGAAGAGGCCATAGATATTTAACACCAGTTCGGGTCAAACGTCGTGCAACAAAGTGGCGTGTTGCATGAATGAGAGCAAGAAAATAATAACAACGGTGACTATGAAGATGACGGAGCTCGAGTCAACGTATGCTCCACACTCGCCAAGTACGCTGCTCTTGCGGCAAATTTTATCACTTCTCGCCCTCTCATCGCGCGCCTTGCAAATGAACAAAGAACAGTGGCTCCACAGAACGACCGCTTGCGCACAAGTGAATACAAGTGCGTACAAGTGAATTGCCATTTCGAAATACCGAAAGCATTACTCGTACCGCGAGAGGACGCTTGGTAAGCAAGAAAACACTCAAAACGACAACACGAGTGTCTACGCTGCCTATAAGTTTTCACACTAGACGGTCGTGACGTCATAGCCGGTTCACGGCATCTACAAGCGCCTACGCAATCGTTTGTCGCTCAAAATCTCGCTATTGCGCGGTCCGTGCAGTTAAATAATACCAAGAGTAAAATAATTGACACTCCACCTGTTACAACACCCCTGTCACCCCCCCCCCCCTCAAGAGAATAAAATGTAAACCTCTGCAGTGATCTAATTTGCTGGATCACATTGAAATAGTTGCGACAACAGCATTTGGCCTTCCTGCATGATGACAAATTGTTTACTAGTAAGATGAACAAAGAAAATGTCCATCTTGTTAAATACAATGAACGCATGTATATACCAATTTCACGCAGAAAGTGGTGCTCCGACATTCCACCTTGTTGTTTGGATTCGCAAAGCGTCGACGCTGCCATCTGACCGCACAAACTAGTTTTGTTTTGTGCTTCTTTTTAGGGGCGAAACTCGTTATAACAGCAACCATTCGTCCCTCGTAGCCGTTGTAGTGCGTAACAAATATAACATTTTGACCTCCAAGGTGGTGCCGGTGAGAGATTTCTTCTGTTCATTGTTGAACAATAAATGATAGTGCTCAGTGTACATGCCAATGGCTGCTAAGGGGGAATGAGAGACAGGAGCATTCGGCTTTTAGTTAACGCACACGCTGCGATCCCCATAAGCAGCCGTCGGCATGTAAATTGAGCACTATCTGACAGGAAAAAGTTGCTACGTTATACTCGCTGGCCGTAACCTCCTTGGTTTTAGAAAGGTTTAGCGAGCGTTGGGCCACAGTGCCATGAATACAGTGAACTAGTATACACCATGAACTCGAGGTGGTTAAAGGTGGGAAGTAGACACGAAGCGCAAGCCGTAAGAAAGTGTGCGTGTGCCACCTCTCGTTTAGTCCTTGGAATGTCCATTGGACGGTGGTGCTTCTATATGGGGAATATATGATGAAAAGATGCGAGATGGTGGTACTTGGAGTGTTGAATAGAGGTGTACGAACGGACACAACAGACAAATGCATGGATGGACGCATGAACGGACGCAGGGGCGGATGCATGGACGAACGCAGGGATGGACGCACGAACAGACGCACGCATGGACGGGCGGATGGACGCATGGATGGACGGAAGCAAGAACGAATGGACGGACGAATGCTTCGCCCCACTCTCCATCATTCACTCCGTGGATATGCTGCCATTTTTTTTTCTTTCCCTCTCTCCTGTGCAGTTTATAAATTACCACCATGTACCAATTATATCCTAACGGTCGTCTCCAATAGCTACTTTTCCATTTACTCCAACGTATCCCATACGCCTCAAAAAGGCACGGCTACTAAGCGCTACTCTCGTGAAGAATGTATGGAAAATAAAACTTGTCATCTTATTCCTACACAATGGAGCTGTCTTTTCGCATACATGTGAAAGAAGGCGTTAGGCCACTCTTCAATTCACACGTGACTGTTACCATACGGCTGTTCATTTCCAGCAGAATAGAGAGCGAATTCGTATGTCATGTTCGAGCCTTGTCAATTTACTAAGAATACTGAGAACAGAGCTTTCTTTTTAATGTTAACGGCCTTTGAAATTTCCCTCCATATATATGCATTCCACGTAAAAATCGCCTTGCATCAGTTGCCTACGTACACGTTAGTCGCCGTTCGTCCCCCTATCCTCTGATGGGCTTATGATTCTCATTCGCGAAATATATAACGTCAAAATAGGACATAGAGAATCTGAAGAGGATCATAAAAGAGTTCCTTTATATAGGTAATTCGATACATGAAATATTTTACATATTGAAAATATATCACGTATTTATATATATATATATATATATATATATATATATATATATATATATATATATATATATATATATATATATATATATATACGTGATATATTTTCAATATGTAATATATATATATATATATATATATATATATTTAACGGAAAGAAGTGTATAGCTAAGGGCTCGTTTTTCCGTGTTTTAACACAATATTAATGAGATCTAACAGGCAGTAATGCCAAGGATTGTACAGGGGAAGTTATTAGAACCAATGGAATGTAAATAAGAAGAAAGAAAAGTGGATGAAAAAATAACCAGCCGTGAGCAGGAATCGAACCTACGACCTTCGAATAACGCGTTCGATGCTCTAACCACTGAGCTACCACAGCGGCCTTCCCTTCATCCACTTTTTTTTGGGTTTATATGTGAATTTAGAAGTAGGAGTGACAGTCAGCGCCATCTATAGTCACACTCGTCGTTTGGCTTATTCGAAGGTCGTAGGTTCGATTCCTTCTCAAGGCTGGTTATTTTTTCATCCACTTTTCTTTCTTCTTATTTACATTCTATTAGTTCTAATAACTTCCCCTGTACATTCCTTGGCATTACTGTCTGTTAGATATCATATATATATATATATATATATATATATATATATATATATATATATATATATATATATATGAGCGTTACCGTTACAATCACACATTTATCACGGACGCACCCACACGGACGTATCTCTCTCGCTTCACTAGTTACCAAACCATCAAAGCTACCTGTCTACATCAAAGCTACAGCATACAGCGCCGCTAATGCCGCAAATCATTTTTAAAAGTCGCAATACAATCATTACGCAATGGGCCAGGTTTCGATTCATTGATTTATATGTGGGGTTTAACGTCCCAAAATCACCATACGATTATGAGAGACGCCGTAGTGGAGGGCTCCAGAAATTTTGACCACCTGGGGCTCTTTAAGTGCACCCAAATCTGAGCACACCAGCCTACAACATTTCCGCCTCCATCGGAAATGCAGCTACCGCAGCCGAGATTCGATCCCACGACCTGCGGGTCAGCAGTCGAGTACCTTAGCCACTAGACCACCGCGGCGGGACAATTGTCCAGGTTTCATCTAATAGGTGTAACTAGCTTTTCGACTGAACCTGAAAGGAGGACGACAGCCCCATCCGCAGGTGGAAAATTCAGGATGTGTGAAGAAACTATTCCAGGACGGGAACAATAGGCTTTATCCATTGACGCACATTAGCGATAGATAAGAGCTATCAATTACTGCGTAGGCACGCTACGACCAACACACTCAAAGACCATTGCTGCAAACTGAAGACAATGGCGGCAGTTGCGCAGCTTTTTTTTTCCTTTGCTTTATAGGAAAGATAAGGGTGGTTTGAGTCAAGAGGGCGCTGGCAGTAAGAAAGGTGCACAAGGGATTTATCCAGGCTGTACGGGGGCTATGTTGGAACCCAGGAAGGCGTAGCTCTCACATCCCCATTACTCATTCGTTTTAATAAAGCGCATTTTCCCCAAGGTGTTTGTGGAAACTGAACCAACTTTCGACAGAAAAGGCCGTCATGCGAATTGCGCAAATTTAGTCAGTTTGACGACTGCAAGGCTGCATTGTCAGTTCATGCTGCTCGTACACTCTAGGAATGATGATGATACTCCTGAGCCGATTGGCGGCTACCAAGGAGGTGGCGCCTACTCACTCATAGGGGTTCGGCCAAGAGTTGGGTAGATCAAATAAAAATGTCTAAATGCGAAGAATTTCTTTGCGTACGGCAGGCACATTTGTGGGTCCATCTACGTACCTGTCTATCTGTTTATCTAGCCGACTATGTCTGTGTGCTCTCGTCTCCGAAATTAACTTGTGGTAAACCAAAATTATAGGCGACGGTAAGAGTTTTTGACGAACATGACTCGCTCGTCATGACATGAATGATGTGGCGATCCCGCCGCCTACATTGTCAAACCCTTTCCATCAGACGCGTTCGGCACATACCCGTATACTACGGGCGGGTATGCACCACAGGTGTGCGACAGTTTATATCTATCTAGGAACTGCGAGA